CCCCCCCTCCCCCCCCCCCCCCCCCCCCCCCTTTTTTTTTTTTTTTTACATTTTTGAAATGCCTTCTAATGGGTCTGTATTACAGTTAAAAACGTATTTCCTGACTTGTTGTGAGTGCAACTCAGTGGTAGAGTGCTGCCTGGCAGACCCTGTGGGCTCTTAGCACAACAACAACAACAAAAAAGAGTAATAATAAAGTTTAGAGGCATAATTAAGGTTTGTGAGTGGAGTTTCTATTGTCTTGGAAAGGTGTTTTCAGTTGGAAGCTAACACTTCCAGATCGAAGTTCCTCTTGTCCCTTGCAGTTGCCTTTGTCTTTGTCCACCAGCATTACCAGCATCAGGAAAGTGGGCCATGCTGGGATGGAGAGGCAAGCACAGCTCCTGGCTTATGGGAAGCAACCCGCTGGCTCCCTTGTGACCTGGACATCCCCAGTTCTGTACCAAATATCCCTTAGCCATTTCCTGGCTGACTATCTGCTGGCGAAGCCTCAGAAAGAGCCACAGCTCTATAAATGTGAAGCACCTCTCCTGGGTCCCAGAGGTTGTCCTGCAAGGGATTTCCTGTTGACAGAAACACAGGAAGCAGCAACACAGGGCTGTGCTGGTTGAACATCTGTGCCCTCTCCCTCTGCAGGGTCAGTAACCCTGCCCAGCAAGGCCTGCTGAAGGCTGGGGCTGGGGAACCGGTTCAGCAGGCTGGAGGAGCCTGGTGCATTACAGCCAATGCAGGTCATCCTAGGCATGGCTCCTGAGATAGGAGAGCTGACATTAGCGATGTCAGTCTGCAGCATCGCTTATCTTAGATAAGTACATAGAGCTGTTTAAGTTGTGGGGGCAAAAGCTACGCACTCAAGGACTAATACAAGGGTAAGTTAGGATATTTTTTTTCCTCTTGGTAAATGGAGGAACTTCCTTTTTTGGTCATTAGCAGGCAATTGAGAATGTGTTGAGGCTGGCTCCCTGTCTAAAATAACACTGCTCTGAAGCTCTGATATACAGCCCCAGCCCCATGCTTTGATGGGCCTGGCCAATTGCTCCAGCCCTCAGCTCACACTACCATAGTCACACACACGATGCACTGTGGACATTGATTCTGCTCAGCTTCCATCTTCAATTAGCCTTTTCAGTGAAACAGCTCCTTAACTTACTTGTTCAGAGGGGTCCTTCCATTTTCGATGTTACTTTCAACCAAGTGAGGGCCAAGCACTAGCCTTAACTGGGCCGAGGGAGATGAGAGCCTGATGGGAAGACTCTAAACTGTGGGCTGATCAGGGAGACCTCAGGTGATTGTGGGAGGTGGTAACAGTGTTCCCTCCAGAAATCCAATAAGCATGAGTTCATCAAGGTAGGGATAAAATGTATTTTGAAGTTCCCTTTATACAAATGTCAATAGGTGCAATAATTAATACCCACTTTGATAATGCTGTTAATTTAAGTGCCAAAAGTTATTGTCAGGAAAGGCATTTTAGACAAAGCAAGGAAAAAAGAAGAGTAGTAACTTGTGGCATGTGCGTTGTTGCTGCGGTTTGTTTTCATTTTCTCCAACGGTGTTTTCTTATAATGCCACCTTATTCAGGAAGGGAAAGGAGTGATTAGGAAACAAAATTGGAAAAGCATTTTGGAGGTGAAGGGAGCCGAGGCTCACAGACAGTCACAAGGAGGTCATTACTGGTGGGAGGCGGAGTGGGAAAGGGCAAAGGAGGCAAGGAGGATGCCAGGAAGGTGCATCTACTCAACAGAAATCTAGTGAGGTAACTTTAATTGAAATGTATGCTGTCAATTAAAAGTCCTGTTTCTCTTTGACAGGAAACCCTGGAGTCGAAATTTCCAAACATCTCCTACCCTGCCTTGGGCTTCTTAAAGGTAAAATCGTGGCTTTTAACAGACCAGGAAGCACACAGTTGTCAGAATTAAATGTCAGTTGATGAAATGTTTCTTTAAAATCCTTCTCCTTTGAAAAACATCAGTTTTGGGTTGAAGAGATGGGTCAACGGTTAAGAGTGGCTCACAACTGTCTGTAATTCCAGTTCAGGGAATCTGACACCCTCACATAGACATACATTCAGGCAAAGCACCAATGCACATAAAATAAGGATACATAGTCATTAAAAATGTTCCAGCTCCAGAGATTCTGATGCCCTTTCCTGGCTTCTGTGGGCACTGCACACATGTTGTGCACAGACATACATACAGGCAGGCATTCACACATATAAAACACAAATAAATAAATCTTTAAATAGTCAACTCCTGCATATATTTTAAAGTTGGTTTACATATATATTCTTAGAAATGTGGCTTATGTAAAACGTGGTACAGCAACCATTTTCAATGTATAGCCAACTTCCCAATATTTCAAAGAATATATTGTCAAAGTTCACTGATGCTATAGACATGCATGAAATTGTCAAAGGACAAATACAGTCAGTGCTATCTGAGTATGAGCTCCACGTCTGCTTGAGAGCAAAGATGTAGTTAAGAATGATGTACTGTAAAGGGCTATGTCTTTCCTTTTGTACATACATGCTTGTGATGCACAGACGGTTTCTAGACCTAACTATCAGAAAGGCTGGCAGATTCTAAAAGGGGAATGGAAGAACTAGAGTGATGGAGACTGATAACACTATGAACTTTATTTCTACCATGCATGAGCCTGATTCTAGAATAAAAGTACAAAACAGCTAAACAAATTATTCCCATTGGCCACTGGGCTGAACTCCAAAATCATGTACTCCCCTGTGGCAGGGCACTAAATGCCTCAAAAAACATGAGAAAACCCTCTCCCAACATTTACTCCTTCTATATCCAACTGGCGAGTGTTTATAGTGTTTCACAGAAAACTCATTTCTCACTGGTGCTCAGGCCAAAAAAAAGGTTGATTTTATACAAATAGAGAGTGAACTGGTGGTCACCAGAGACGAGGAAAGGTAGGAAGGATGAGGATGCTGATGCTGGACAATCGCTGCCAACACAGTCAGGGCTATGTTCTAACACACTGCAGCAAAGCAGGGTGACTATAACATACGTTGTTGCATAGTTGGTGAAGAACCAGAGAAGAGTTGTCTCCCAAAAGAGAAATGGAAACTGTTTAGGGAAATGGAATTGCTAATTATCTTGATCACTTGTGTGCATGTATCTAATTATCATACCACACCCCACACAGTGCCGAAGAGGCTCAGCAGTTAAGAGTGCCTGTCTTTGTAGAGGACCTGGGTTTGGTTCCCAGCACCCAAATGACTCACAACCATGTGTAACTTCAGATCCAGGGGATCCAATGCCCTCTTCTGACCTCTGTGAGCACCAGGCACACAGGATGTGTTGTGCATCAGTACATGCAGGCAAAATACTCATGCACAAAGTTTAAACACCCAGGAAAAGATTTTAAAGTAAATTATTTTTTAAAAAAAATTAAAAATGAATGAATGTGCTCAGTCTCTGAAAGAAGAAAATACGTTATTGCAACTTTAAGAAGTAAAAAGGGGGGCGGGAGAGATGGCTCAGAGCTTAAGAGCACCAACTGCTCTTCCAGAGGTCCTGAGTTCAATTCCCAGCAACCACAAAAAGGGATTTTCTATTCTTTCAGGGTTGCCTCCACATGGACCCTGCTGAGAGGCTGACATGCGAACAGCTGCTGCAGCATCCATATTTTGACAGCATTCGAGAAGTTGGGGATTTGACAAGACAACATGACAAGTCAGTGAGGAAGACCCTGAGACAGAGTCGAAAGCACCTGACTGGGGTAAGACTGCTTTACAGAAATATCCAAGGTTACACTTTCAAATGATCCCATGCCTGTTGCCTGGTACTGAGTTGGAATCTAGGTTGACTGACAACTGTGGCTCATAGCCCCATCACCCTCAGGCCAGAAGTGGGAGACAGGTCATCTGGATTATCAACCAGAGCTTCAGAGACATTTGCTTTTCAAGGCCCTTTGCTGAATTCTAAAGTTGTCCTTACCATGCTGCTCCTGATGCTGAATAGGAGCCGAGCTGTCTGATGTGTGCAAACTCAGGCTGCAGGCGGGTAAGTCACTTCTCATACTTTGGAGCATGGAATCAGACCTTTGTCATACTACCTCCAGTGTCAACACCACAGGTTTCTTCTCAAATGGATTGTTTTCCTTTTTGGTCCTTTGTCAGAGCTGGTGAAGATAAACACAGCAACAGGGCCTACTGGATATCTGCAGGATAGTACATTTAACCACAGAACAGGACCCAGCTGCAAACATGAATCCTGACTGGTGAAAAGTGGTTCCATGGCATCAAATTAAATGACAAAAAGTCTGTAACAATCTAGAATCTAGATGAGCCATAACTAAGACAAGTTGGCTGACGTCAACCACTTTTGGATCCACGAGCTTCAAATTAGTTTGCCTTCATGTCTTAGTTATCTTCTGTAGCTGTGATGAAACATTATGACCAAGACAACTTAGAAAAGAAAGCATTTAATTGGGGACTTGCTTAAGAGTTTCAGAGAGTGAGTCCATAACCATCCTGGTTGGGAACATGGTGGCAGGCAGGCAGGCATGGCACTGGAGCAGTAGCTGAGAGCATACGCCGAGAACATACGTCTTATCCACAAGGAGCAGAGAGACAGAGACAGAGACACAGAAAGACTGGCATGGGCTTCTGAAACCTTAAAGACCAATGCCAGTGACACATTTTCTCCAACAAGGCCACACCTCCTAATCCTTCTCCAAACAGTTCCACCAACTAGGAACCAAACATTCAAAATAATAAGGGCCATTCTCATTCAAACCACACTTAATCTTTCCTTTGTAGGCCCCACTTCCTCAAATTTATGCTGGAGTGGGGGGGGCAAGAAAGAGATAGAGAGATTATAAGGAATAATAGCTTTTTTAATGCCAAGGCTCTGAGGTAGACCATGGTTACAAAACTAAGAGATGACATTATTCTCTATCAGATATGAGCCAGTGAGCAAATCAGGCAGGAAGTCCTCACTCCTTTTCTCTTTGAGTTATCTCCATTTCACTGTTACTTTGTGTTCAAAAGCAAAGAGACCTGCTACAAATATTTCTATTGGAAGGAATAAAGAAGCTTGCTGTTTGTAGTCCTGAAGGACTGTTGTATTTAAAAGAACTAAAGAGCATCTTTATTCTAGATACTTAAGGCCACATGATACAATTTAAAAAAACATATAGGCCTGTTCTTATTTTCATTTGACAGTCACATTATTTTTTGTTGTTGAAGCTTGAAGGAAAAGGGGTGTGTTATCTTTTTAATTATAGGAGCAAGTGGGCAATGCACCTAATCTCTTTTCTCTGCCAGACAGGGCCTTGGCTTACATGATATCTTCCAGCATTGTGAATCTGTTTTGTTCCCCAGTAATGCAGATATCATCCATTTTTCCATAGTCTTTAAATTCTCGTGTGTATGTGTGTGTGTGTGTGTGTGTGTGTGTGTGTGTGTGAGAGAGAGAGAGAGAGAGAGAGAGAGAGAGAGATACTAGGACTGGAATCTAAGGCCTCTCACATGTAAGCAAGCAAATTATTACTGAGACACACCTCCAGTCTTGTGTGTTTTTCCTTTTTAACATGGGTTCTATGTGTTTGTGCATGGTGGTGGGAACTTAACCCAAGATCTTGGTTGCTTTTGTGTTTTTTGTTTTGTTTTGTTTTTGAGGAGGGTCTCTCTACATAACCCAGGCTGGTTCCATTGTGATTTTACTGCTTCTGTACCCTGAGTGCTAGAATTACATTTTGTGTCAACATATCTGGCTTGGGTTGATTTTTAAATATAAATCAAACCTCTGAAAGCAAAGGAAGAAACAAAATTAAAACGCTTCTCCCTCTGTCAGGTTCTGGATTTTTTTGGGGGGGAGGGTTGGGGGGAGTTCGAGACAGGGTTTCTCTGTGGTTTTGGAGGCTGTCCTGGAACTAGCTCTTGTAGACCAGGCTGGTCTCGAACTCACAGAGATCCATCTGCCTCTGCCTCCCGAGTGCTGGGATTAAAGGCATGTGCCACCACCAGCTGGCAGGTTCTGGATTTTTTTAAGGAAAAGATTTATTCCTGCACCCCAAAGTGATTTCTCTTGTGACATATCCTAAATACCGAAACCCGCTACACAGCCTAGTTTTGAACCCGACTTTGTGTTTTATATTTTCAGCTGCAGTACCTACCTCAGCTAACTAGCAGCAGCATCCTTCCAGCCTTGGACAATAAGAAGTACCACTGTAGTACCAAGAAACTTAACTACCATTTTCCAAATATTTAAGGAGCTGGCAAAGTGATGAAGAAGTGATCCATAATTTGAAGAAAAAATTTACATATTTGATTCCTGTATTGAGCACACATCAGGAGAAAACACAGACCGGAAGCTGGAGGCCACTTGGCAAGATATGAAGAGAAATTAGAGATCCAGACTTCCATGCTTGGTGAAGATGTCCAGAGAAGAAATTAAAAGCTTGGGGTTTCACTGTGTTTGAGTATCTAAGCAGCAGAACTTACAGACAGGATATAAACTCTTATCTACTGCCCGTAGCTGCAACAGTAGATGATGGCAAAAGGATTATGCCTCAGTTTGCTCTATGTTACATGTAGAAAGTGGGTTATAAAATGTCCATATGTATTTCTTTAGATCCGTGCTGCCTTGGATCCTATCTCTAATGTTGTTTTCAAATCATATTTAGTTATGATTTTCGTTCCTGAATTCTAAATGTCTGTGATTCTATTTCCTGTTTGTTCTTTCTTGATTTCTGAGTTTTAAGACATGTTTTAGAATATCTAAGTTGGTCAAAATATCCAAAGTCTTAAAACTTTGTAGTTTTTGTTTGTATATAACAGATGGGATACTTATATATCTCTTACATATACTTTTATCTTTACCCTAGGAAAGACTGTGTCAGAAAGGGATAGAATGAGACCCACAGAATGAACCTGTTAGCCTGAAAATAATTATCACTTTGTTCTTCAGCTCACCCTCTCACCTGAAGACTGTTCTATTAGCAAAACTCAGATATGATCTGGATTTAGACAGAACTGCTTGTGAACTTTAATTTGAATCAGGAAACATGTAGGTTGTTAACTGATATTCTTTCCTTAAAGTATCTCTTATTATATTATATATATTGTGTTATGTATATGTCTGTGAACACACATTCATACACTTGTACACGTATGTATGTGTACATACAATGCTAATGAATAGAGTACAGCAAATAAGGAAGTGGTAAAAAAAATACCAAGGATTTTTAGTTTTAAGCGGAGACTTAAGATTAAAATTACCTTATAGCAAAGCTTTTCTCCCTGTCCCCTGGATGCGGGCAATGTGAGCCCTCACAATTTCTCACTATCATTTCTCATCCATGGGCTGCTAGTTCACAGAGTTCTCAGACATGGATTTAAAGATCTATCTTACTGCATTCTCAATAACATTTCTTCTGCACTGTCATTTTCTTCCTGTGTCCATTCCATGACATCACTTAGCCCCATTCAATTACTGCTATGTAGTTCAATACATTCTGTCATCTGGTCAATCTTGGCTACTCCAAGGCAAATTAAGGTTTCCTAAATATATATAGCTTACACCACAGACCTGACAGTGGGTTAAAAAAGCAACTCCAATATCATTCAATTCCTCTTAAATAGCCATGATTTAAATGACAAGGAAGGATATCAACTTCTGTGAATTGCCTTTTTTCCCTTTAAATCAATAAAAGTATATTTGAAAGAAGCAAATGATTGTAATTGCCTAGTTTATCTAGTAGTTTTATAGAAAACTATAGACTACAAAAGACTTTGCAGATGAAATCATGATGAACTGGCTGTTCGGCCACACAGTACTAAACAAACCTGAGATAAAAGAACTTGTCTTTCTTTGGTATAGTCTATTTATCAGTTATGCTTATGCTCAATGAAGTCACTCTGCAAACCTCTTCTTTCACATGGAATCACCACATACCACACAAGACCATTCTACATGTCTTCTACCTACTCTTCATATTTATTTTCAATTTTTCTGACTTGTAAATGGCAGAGATATATGTAATTTGCATATCCTCATGAATTAGGGTGTTTTTCCCGAAGCACAGTTCTAAAAACAACTAAAGATTCCATTTCTGCCTGAAAGCTGGACTGCAGAAGGTCATTCCTAATCAAATTTATATTCAGCAACCTGATACCCAGCCATACATACAGAAACCTACACATGAATCAGTATATAACTAATAACAATGAAATTACAGCTATTTCAAGTAAAAAACTAAAGACTAGGTTTTATCCCCTTGTGACATTCTTTATTAGTGTTTTTCTATATATAAAATTCATTTTCATATTTATATTTTTATGTCCCTTGAGTTCATAGGAGGTAGCATTCCTCAAAAATATTTGAGGAACAGCAAAAATTAGCTTTTAATCAACACTAACATTTTGTTTGAAGCAGGTGGGGAGTAAGGATAGTCTGGTTCCTGATTTGTTTTACCAGAAAAACTAGTTGGCTATAGACAAGAACCTGTGTTCAGTTTTAGCCAGCAGTAGTCCACACTTAAAAGAAGGACGAATTAACCAGCACTTTTCATTCTGAGAAAGGGCATTTTAAAAAAGTGTGTACTCTGAGGAGCACAGCAATGCAGGAGTTTGAACAATGCATGCAGACCCTGGGAAGCAGCACAGGGAGCTGTCAGCACCACTGACCACTGTGTACAACTGACTCTGTCACTGAGTCTGTAACTGAGCTCTCGTTTTCATATCCAGTCATTCACAGCAACATGCTTCCGTGCCTTTAAAGAAGTAAATTACTATAATATCAAAGAGAATATTTGCATCGCAGTTTAAAGAACTCTATGCCAATATCTACACCAAGCAATATCGACAGTATATATGTCAATTAGGAATATATTAGAATTAAAATGTTACATCATATTTTTACAGTGATTCAATGTACATAATTTCTCACTTCTAACTAAGTAACTTTAGTGAGTCACTTTTGAATATTTATTTTCTACCTAACATCTATTCTCCATTCCTAAGCCATCAGTTCTCAGTTCTCTTGGTGATTCTGTAGCATTTGTAGCTAGCTATTTAATATCAGTAATTTCAAATGACCCTGTATAGTGAGATCAGACACTTATTTTACTTCAGGTTTAATTTCAGTTCTAGAGAAGGCAGTGCTGTCTTAAAGACTTGGACAAGATTGTCTTTATCTTTTACTCCAGGAAGATCACTTAAGAACAAATACCGGAGGTTCCTGCAAACAGAGAAAAAAACAAAGTCTTTTATGGCTGTAAAAATGAATTTGATTTATATGATGTTTAGGAAAAGTAACATGTAGAAGGTATTTACATCACTCCACACCTTCCAAATGGCTTGTAGACAAACAGTCTTGGAAGGAGGCTACTTTAAATGAAACTCATGCAAGACTTTAAAATTATCATTTTTTCCTTATTTTACTGATGTTTCTGAATCTTTTTATTTCTATATACATACAAAACATACCTCCTTTGTACATAAATATTAATAATAATGCAAACAAATACCCCTTGGAAGTTCTTAAAGTCATTCAAGTTTCTGTAAGAGGAAGAAGCCCTGATGCCTCAGATAGTGGTGAGAGATAAATGGTTTAGTACTTCGGTTCTAACGTTTCAAACATCTCAAACTGCTGTGGTACTGAGATTACTGTTATATATTCTGGTTATTCACTTTATCAGGTTTCTGTTTTGACCACTTACCTAAAATGTCGCAAAGCAATGATGCCGTTGTCTGTGACATTCCCACAGGTAATTATTTCCATTTCTAATAGGCTTTTCCGTAATTTTTCAAATTGACTAAGCCTCTGCAAACAGTTATCGTCAATATAATGACACTTGCACAGTGTTATTTTTTCAACAAGCTCTAGGCCCTCTGGAGGGAAAATGCACAGTTTAAGAATCTGTTTTATCATGACTAACAGTTCTTGCTTCATGGACAGGACTGTTCCTGGCTTTGACCATTCTATGGAAACTGGAGTGACTGCTCACCCTGTTGACCATATGACATATTCATTACACAGCTTGGGCTGAAGTCATATGCCCATGCATTGGAAAGAAAGAAAGAAACTTCCACATAAGCAGAAGCTGCCTGGATATAATTAGTCTTATGTTACTGAAGGGTTCACAAAGATATAAGTTTGACTAAGATAGTCTGACAAAATCAAACAGGCTTTGATTATAAGTGAACAAAAGAACACAGAAAGAAGCTCATAAGGGATAAAGAAAATTGTATATCACATGATCTCTATTTACTTTGAAGATAAATACCTAAAACAAAGGAATAAACAAACAATTTTGCTGAAATGGGCAAAAAACAAAAACATGAGCATGACTATAACAGTGAGCAAACTGGAACAAAAACATTCACTGTAAATCACCTGCATGCCCTAAAAGCAAACGACAGGACTTACCCATGTGATCGAATCCAATGTCCATGATACAAGAATCGGTGGCATCAATTGCTTGAATCTTGTGTTTGTCCATGGAGCCTCCTGGGATGCTGTTGTAGTCCTGTAGCCACTTCTGATGGCCACAGTAGCGTACTTTGGCCCCACACCGAAGTAGCCACTCAGATGCTGCCCTGTCAGGGCCAACATCCCTGAGGCGTTCATAATCTACTCTGTTTACAAGAAAACAAGAGTAGTTAGTTTACTTCCACTGTCACTAGTTTCTTAGTTGTGTTCACCAATATAAATATGGACCAAAAATACATTTTTATTTCAAATGACTGAGGAGTAAGTGTATTAAAGGGATCCATGAAAATCAAAACTGTAGCTTTCTTTAGCTCTTTCTGCTTGCTTTTTCTTTCTTTCCTTCCTTTCTTCTTTTTCTTTAGTTTTACTCTTTGGCAAGCTCTAACAAGATATACCAGTGAGGCAGAGTCTTACTGTGCCAGCCAGGCTAGCCTTGAACTCATGCTTTTTTTTCTCCCTTGCCTCCTCAGTGGTAATATTATCATAGCTGGCATGGTGGTATTTTATTTTATTGCTCTGGTTCTGGAGCTTAAACCCAGGTCCTCCCAGTATTAGGCAAGCATTCATATGTTTCATGGAGCTTGACAGCAGAGATCCCTATCACAATATAATGACTATCTGGGAACCATTTTTCATTACTGATAAGCCATTAAAGAGAAGCTAGGCATGGTGGCACACACTTTTAATACCAGCACTTGGGAAGCAGAGGCAGCTGAATCTCTATGAGTTCAAAGCTAACCTGGTCTACATACCAAGTTCCAAGACAGCCAAAGCCACAGAGACTCTATCATAAACAAACAGCAACAAATGATTAAAAATGGAATAATTTTGAAGCCATTTTCAAATTAGTCTCTTTGTGCTATTTACTAATTTCTGCAAATGCCTTTTTCTTTGCAGTCACAATGGTGTTATTAAGCAGTAAGAGTTTGTTATACCTGTTTCAATACGGTACTTCTATGAATATGCCACATACCAAGTTTTTACTTTATTTTATTTAAGTTTTTCTCTATGTAGTCCTAACTGTTCTGGAATTTACTATATACACCAGGCTGGCCTTGAATTCACAGAGATTCTTCTATCTCTGTCTCTAAAGTGCTGGTATTAAAGGTGTGAGCCACCACATCTGGCCACACTAAGTGTTTAAACACCAGAGTTCTCCTAGTAGGACTCAAAAGACTAATAGCATTCCTCAAGAAGCTAAAGAATGAGGTATTTCAAAGTTACATATACTGTTGAGTATAAAAAAAATAAAAATTCATTTTAGGTAACTTGAAGGGTATCAATAGACGAATAAGAAAAAAAAAACCCACTTGAGGCTGGAGAGACGGCTTATTGGGAAAGAGCAATTATTGCTCTTGTAGAGGACCTGGGCTCAGTTCCCAGCACCTAGATGGTGGTTCACAACTATCTGTGATGCTGCCCTTCTAACCTCTGTGGGCACCAGAGGTTAGAGGTACACACATGGTGCACATCCATACATGCAGGCAACACATATACACATAGAGTAAAAAAGAAAAAAAAAACTTTAAAAAGAAAAACCCCACTAATAGTCTGTAACTCAGACGAGCAATTTAATATTTTATAAGCTATTTTTCTGTTTATATTTTATTTTGTTTGGAAAAATAGGATCATACTATCCATATTGTTCAAAAGAAAAATAATTTGAAACACAAGAGATAGCCAACTAGCCAAAGAGCAGTTTAGAACCTGTCCAGTTATAAAAATTCCCACATTTCTTCACTTAATTAGTGTCACTTACTTATTAAACACTGTATTCAACCATTCCCAGAAGTATCTGGAGTCACATGACCATGGGATTTTCTTTAAGCTGCAGAGCTGCCTCGAAAGTTTTCCAAACAGCGTCATTTGATCTAGACACACAAAACAGTATTCTTATGAGCTCATCAATCAGAGTTCCACACAGCTAGTAACTTATGCCACAGCTCCGTATCAATTCCTGTGCCAATAGTTGATATTATTGATCAGTCACTCCTGTCTGTAATTCTCAAAATGAGAGGTTGAGCTAGATGATGTCTAAGGTCCCCTTCTAGCTTAAATTTCATCATTTAAACCTTAATTGTCTGCAGTCTTGTCCCTTAATGTTTATTTTCTGCATATAGATTTGCTCAAACCAGATCTACTTCCAATATACATTTCAAAAACAAAATGACAAACTATAGTCCCATAGGGAACCCTGCCACAGTGTTTCTATCCAGGTAAGGAAAGGAAAATAAAAGTAGACCTATTTAGGGAAGAGACACAGTATGTCACCAGAGCATAGACAGTCCCATGCCAGGCAGCTGAGGAGCAATTTCACTTCTCTGACCCTGGGTTTTCTCATTTGTGAAAAGATGATTTGTTCAGATGGTTTCCAGCCAAGAGCTGAGAAAATAATCTTTGATTAAGTCTCAATTGGTTTGTCTTAATTCAAGTTCTCTAGTAGTGGGCCAGGAGTGAGTGGTGGGGGTTGCAGGGAAAGTAAAATGTGGTCTCTGTCTTTGAGGAAATTACAAGTTAATCCAGGATGGAGTGGCTCAAGTCACCAAGTAGTTAAAATAAATGACAAGACTTGATACAAGTCTTGAAAGAGCTAAAATAAGGACAGAGATGATTCAACAGACAACAAAGCCAGGCACAGTTACGACAAGCTATACACCATGGCAGGAAAGTAAGGCCTGCTGTAGGTCAGTTTGGTTTGTACATGGAGGTCATGAAGGGTAAGACACTGCATGGCCAGGTCACGAAAGGTCTTGCAGCCAGGCTATCTGGACTACATTCTGTAGACAGCAGGGAGTCACTGAGATGTCAGAGTAGAGCACTGGCATCACAGAAGCTGTGCTACAGGAAATTTACTCTGACTGCAGCATCAAGACCAAAGATCAAGTCAGATATGGTGGCATGATCCTACAATCCTAGCTACTTCAGAGCCTGAGGCAGGAGGATCACTTGAGCACAAGAATTTGAGGTTAGTCTGAGCAACATAGCTATAGTTTGTTTCAAAATAAATAAATACAGAATTGTAAAGAAATAGCTAACAAGCCGGGCATTGGTGGCACACGCCTTTAATCCCAGCCCTAGGGAGGCAGAGGCAGGCTGATCTCTGTGAGTTTGAGAACAGCCTGGTCTCCAGCGTGCCAGGATAGGCTCCAAAGCTACACAGAGAAACCCTGTCTCGAAAAACAAACAAACAAACAAAAAACAAAAAAAAAGAAAGAAAGAAATAGCTAACAAGGGCTTCATAGGAAAGGACTTAGTCACAGAAGGATAGAATGACCCAGTAAGGAACATATAGAGACAAGAGCTAGAAGACTTAAAGATGATACTATGCTTTTTGGTCCTGGATCACTGGTAGGATGGTGATATCATTTAAAGAAGTCAATATCAAGGATGGTTTAATGAGTAAAGTGCTTGCCCACAAACATTTGTACTTGAGTTCATATCTCCAGCATTCATGTAAAAAGCCTAGATGACAGCATGCACCTATAATCCCAGTGGTGGAGAAGTAGAGACAGAAAGACCCCTCACTGGACAGCCAGTCTAGCCTAGTTGGTGACAGCCAGGATCAGTGTGAGATCCTCTAGAAACTAAGGTAGAAATGTAACAGGGCCTCAGAACTTAACACAACTGATTTCATAATGGAAATACCACTCTGGCCATAAAACGCAGCACGTAGACAGCACCTCTTGCCATAATGAAAACAAAGACCTAATCCATCAAAGTTTATAGTTATGGGGAAGTTTCTGTACCAAACTTACTGTTTGGCTTCTGTTGTTCCATTTCTGGCTAATTGTTCTTTTTAACTGAAGCATGTCAATATAGAACATGGTGTTTGTGCTTAAAAGCTCACCCTGAGAAAGGCTTGGGGCTACATTGGGATCCTGAACACCCAGTGTAGTCACCAGTCAACTAATAAAGACTTTCTATTGGCTTAAACCCGTGTCTCTGGTGGATGCCTCAGAACAGAATGATTGAGGAGGACACTCAGTGCTGATCCTGACCTCCACATACAAACACACACATGTGAGCACAAATGGACATGCACACATGCACACATACACACCAAGATAAGTGAACAGAGGGGCAGGGTTGTGGGCTCATTTTTTTTTTTTTTAGTTTTTCATATTCTAAATATGAAGTGTTGGCAGGACTCCTAAGGGAAGACAACCAACAAAATCACTGGAATCGAGTCACAAAGTGTTAGAGCTGGAAGGAACTTAGGTCAGCTACATGAAACCTCTCATTTAGAGATGAGGAAACTGAAGCCTTGATATTACGTAACATGCTGACACTCTAAATCCTTTCTGGAACAAGGTGGGGCATTAATAAATGCATGTGTCTAAAGGAACTTGCTCAATGTTTCATTGCAATTTGTGTCAGTGTTGCATTTGAACCTAGTACTCTTTCCTACCAGTCAGGGCTCTGGATGATTCCAGAACTCAGAAGAGAGAAGAAGACTTAAAAGATGACTGAGTGGGAAGTATTTTAGTTGATGAGATGGTGGAGTGTTGAGGCGGTAAGGTGTGAACCCTGATGATGGAATCTGGGGAATACCTACTGTTCTTACACCTCTCCTCTCCTTTCCTCTATGGTCTTGCCCCAACCCTTCCCTCTTTTTGGCAGTGCTGGGAATTGACCACAGGGCTGAGTACCTGTTAAGCAAGTACTCTACTATTCAACTGACGGTACCTCTCAGACTCCGTCTTTCTACCAAGGCTGTCCATCACCACAAATCTCTGCCTCTGCTACATCCTGCAGTCTCAACCTTGCCGGACTATTGTTAAAGCTCTCTCCACCTATGCCCGCCCCTAATAACTCCTTTGTTGTCAATTTCATTTACAAATCCAGGCTTTCTCATGTTCTATTCAAGCTATTCCCTCTATTAATTCTACCCCCAACCTCATCTGTGGAAATCTTACCCAACTTCTCATTTAACTGTCATGCCCACCTATTCACTCATTCATAAATGCTCACTGAATGTTTGCTATACTTAGTACAAACCAATAGTGAGACAATGCAGCAACAAGAGAAGTACAAAGAAAGCTCCCATCCTGTCCTCATAGAATCCATGGTTTAATGGAGAAGACAGAAATACAGATAGTATTTCTGATCATGTATACATGATACAGATAGTATACATGATGGTACTTAGAGACATGGACTGTGTGAAAGCCTTTAAAAAGGGGGTAAGGGGAAAGATTCATACTACAGATTTTCTAAAACAGTGACTAAAAGTTTTCAAGCATGGTGTGATGGCACACTCCTTTTTTTTTTTTTTTTTTTTTTTTTTTTGGTTTTTCGAGACAGGGAGCCTATCCTGGCACTCGCTCTGGAGACCAGGCTGGCCTCGAGCTCACAGAGATCCGCCTGCCTCTGCCTCCCCAGTGCCAACACCCAGAGATGGCACACACCTTTAACCCCAGCACTTGGTAGGTAGAGGAAAGAGATCTCTGTGAGTTCAAGTCCAGCCTGGCCTACATAGTAAGCTCCAGACCACCCAGGACTACACCTTGAGATCCTGTGTCAAAAACTAAAAGAGAGTTTTCAGTGAGGAAGATTAAGCAGGGAGGGAGCAGGCAGAGCTAAAAGAACAAGGACCACTTATTTCCATTTCCTCAGTGTAATGCAAAGGTTTACCAGTATCTGTTGATTAGCAGTCTTCAGTGGCCAGCTATCCAAAAGTCAAGCCAGAGAGGCTGTTACTCAGCTAGTGGAGGGAGCAGCAGGGTCTCTGAGCCCTGAATACTTTTGCTGGAGTCACTTTGGTTCATTTTAAAATCCAGCTTAAATAAAGGTAAGGCCAGCTTTATTTTAGTTATACTGCCTAAAAACATTAGGTGTTGTCCTTAAACCAAGTTATAGTAAAAAGATATAGTTTATATCTAGAAATAAAAGTTTAAAATTAGGTGAGTTTTTACATTTCCAACTTCAACTTTTGACGACTGACATCTGAGAAACACTTCCTGCTTGAAACCAAGCAGCGAGCAGCAGGGATGCTTTCTACATGGAAAGAGGAGACCTCTAGTGGTGATTTAGTAAATGTGACTCTAATTAAACCAGTTAGAAGCAGATTAGAAAATCCTTGTTGCTATATGACTGATGCAATAAACAATCTAGAAACTTAAATTGTAAAAATAACACACTTCTGTTTGCTATCAGAAGAACCCCTAAGTTTATAACAGTGTTTCTCAAATTTGCAATTATGTTCATGAATAAAGGCCAGATCTCTAATATGTTACTACACACACACACACACACACACACACACACACACACAAATAGAGAAATAGAGAATGAGGGTTTTCTAAGTAGAGTTGATAGCACTTCCTCATTTGCATAAAAGGAATATTTTAAAGGTGGAACTTTTGATTATATATTAAATGCAATTGCTAAATAGACTATCAATTGATGACTAGTTTGTTGGCCAAAGACTGAATTAGTTCTTGAGAGTGATAGTGTGAGAGAGGGGTGCAGCAAACTTCCCCTTAAATATAACTCTCTTCCACTGTAAACTAATGATTTGTGCTTGATGACTTGGAGTCTGAATCAAGTGAAACTGGCAGAGTCATCTGTTGGGCAGAAGAAGCAAAGGTCCCCAACCATTCTGAGGCCATCACAGGGTACTCACAAACTAACCTTTTATCGGCTCCTGCCTAGATAAAAGGTGAATATGATTTCTCAGCTAAGGAATGTGGGATCAGTAATACAAATGTCTCTAATCACAGACATTACAGAGCGTATGGATGAAAGGTAAATTCTTATGTGAAATTACTGAAACAAACTACCGTACAGATCTTCAAATAAGGCAAGTCGAATAGCTTGTATATTCTTTCACCTTCCCAAGGTAAGAAGTACATGCTCAAAATCACACACC